TGTTATTTTTGTTTTCATTTTCTGATTCGGATAATTTGCTTGCACACACAGTCAGTAATTTTTTGATCAAAGAAGTTAATTTCCAGGTTGCTGTTGACAAACTTATTGTTCATTTTTAATTATTTATTTTTTTCAATACAACACAGTAAGCTTTTCTTTATTATTGAGTTGATGTGCATGCCTTTTGCAAAGCTAACATCTGCCTTATCCTCTTGCCATTTCAAAATCAAAGGTGATGATACCTGTGACAGTAATACAGTACGAGATGTGTACATCAACATGTGCCTCCTACAAATAAAGACTTGTTGTTTTTTGATACACTGTGGTTCAATTCGTAATAACAGCTCTGTAGTCCTGTGGTTTTAGCAGCATTTTATTTTGGCAGGATTTTTTTTTTGCCCTCTCGCATTAGTTTTGGGGTCTTCAGAGGATTTCATCCATAAAATTAAATCAGTGTGGCCATACTAGTATATCAAATCACAGTCCCAGATCAAATCAAAAGGCTTGATGTTTATAACGTGACTGGGTTGTCGAATCCGTCATTCATCCAGTAATTTTAATGACGAAAAACAGTTTTTAGCCTGCTTTCCAGTAGGCAATACTTATTAATGCGATGTATACAATATTTTGGGGTTAATCAGACCTCTCCTTGATGCTCATGGAGTCTTTTAAAAGGAAAATTATATTAACATTGAACATTTTCGGAGGGCTCAAACATAATTTGCATATTTTAGCATTGTAGAATATGACTAAATATGATTCAGTAATCGTATTATATTTAATATTCGTTCACAACAACCAATCAACATACAGAAACAAACATCATGTTATATGAGAAAAGAAATGTATTAATTATTCAAAAATATATTCTGAAACATTTCAATGTGGACGGTTTGTTTTTGAATTTTGTCTACCGTTATTAGGAAAGTCATAGTTGCATATGCATGGACTACAGAGTGTCACTGTTATCCCGTACACACGTGCAGACATAATGTTACCAAGGGCTCCACATTCTTTTGAATTTGGCATTTTCAAGTCTGACATAATGTTCTCAGATAAAAAAAAAATATATGATATCATTTTCACATTGTATATTGTGGTCGTCGCGCCGCGTCCTGTTCAATATGGGACCCATTGCCACGTATACAACGCGTGTAAAATAAGTCCTTTTTTAACATGAAATTCGAACACGCGCGTCGCGACGACCAACACCCTTTAAAATAGCGCGAGTATTTGCAACGATTCTGCTCTGATTTTCGGATTGATCGCAACTGTTTTTTATATTAATTACTGTGTATCAAATTCCAAATAATAAATATTTATCGTCGTGTATTCTATGTAGTTGGCTATAAGTTTATTCTATGTTTTTCGAAACTCAATTCAAAGTTTTGAATGCACGAGATATCAAGCCACGTCGCTCCCTTTTCTTTAAAATTTTACTTTATGCTCTCTTCTTATATTACTTGCCCGATGCAAAAACAACTTAAGGTGTTAATGTTTGGTCAGAGCCATTTTTGACAATTAATTATCACATGTCACATGTATATGTATTTTTGCTGCTAGAATTTAACATATCAAAAATATCGAAACCTTATCTGAGTGAAAGGTAAAAATCCTCAAAACGGTATGTACCACTTGTTGATAAAGATAATTTCAATAACGTATAAAGATTTTTGTGTTTGATTGCTTTGGTGTTTTATATTTGAAAATATTGAAATACTTTACAGTGAAAACCTCCGAGATTTTGGCATTGAGACTGCTCTCATGTTGTACAATTTGAACAACTAACTACACTGACACCTAGTTTATCGCAAAATATTATACCAACAGACTTTATCTACAGCCCCGCGCATGTTTACACATAGAAATAATGTAAATTAGTCCAGACTGCAGACAAGAGTTCTAATTTTACAACACCCAGAGTAGTCTCAATGACAGCATTCGCTGTAACATCACATCTTACTAGTAATTACTGGGACATGTAGTGAAAGACTGTCTGTCGAACACTGCTTCATAGGATTGTCACACGTAACG